TACTGTAAGCAGGACTCAGGCCTTAGATATTCCAGGAGAGTGCTCTCGGGAGTGGCCCTGTGAAGGAGTTTGAAAGAAATTGGGAATTACATCCTTGGCATAGTTTTGGAAACGGTGGGGGAGGTGAGGGTTGCAGGGGATATCTGTGGAAGGTGCCAGCATCTAGGTCTGGGTAGGATTTAGGCTAGTTGAGAGGAGGTAGGAGATTAAAACACTGAACACCCGGAGAAGCTTGAGAGATAGGATTAGTAAGTGGTGTTTGAGAGTGGGACCTCATTTTCTGTATTTTTTTAGAAGACAGTCTTCCCACACTGACAGTACTTTTGGTTACATTTCTGTACTGACAATAGGTGTGACACAAGGACCCATACATGTATGCTCAAAATGATGGGGGATACAGTATGTGCATGAAGTATGTACTTTTTATACAAATTGTGTGGAATAGTTAAAAGAGAGTTTGCTGGTTGAACACTGTAAAGGACTGTAGTAAATATGGAGGTCTCAGAAATCCATGTGGGCATATATTAGATTAGAGAGTGTCATAATGTTTACATGTTCCACAGGTTCACCCAGAAATCAGCCTCCTGGGCCATGTCGATGTTAAAGCTTGTGCCTTCTGAGCGCCAGCAGACCGCAAGTGGACTAGTGGATGATTCCTCTTGCCTGAGCAAGAGATGGCATAATACCTGGAATTGGCCACCACGAGTGTCCCAGCTTTAGAAGCCAGCTGGATGAAGGGATGTAATAGGAGCCTGGGAGGGACACTGAAGTCAGCAGTGGGGGGGGAGGGGCCTGGACACACCCCTTCCCCCCCAGACTCCTCCCCGTCAGGGTCCACCCGGCCATGGACTTTGGACCTGGATAAGTGGAGAGAAGCTGTGCTTTGGTGGATCTGAATCTCAGTTTTGAAAATGGAGTGTTAAGGGGTGGGGGTGGGGGGGCTTGAGGATCTCCAGGGGAGCAACTGAGAGAAGCAAAGAAAGGTAAGTTTTCTTCCTCCTGTCTCTCTTATTGCCTTGCTGTTGCTGTGCAGGAAATGGGAATGGGAACAGTCTGGGAAAGCTGCCATGTCTGAAGTCAGGGCACCTCCTGTGTCCTGATGAGAAAGAACCTTTATCCTAATGGGACACAGGAAGTGTCACCTCTACTTCACTCTTTCAGTGGGGTGGATTTGTTCCTTACTGAGGCTACAGCAGATAGCTAGTAAAGGATTGTGAATACTTGCAATTGTGAGCATAGGTAGGTGAAGGAGGTTAGGTCAAGGAGAGCTTGCAAGGAAATCGGGCTTCTGCAGAGCTGTTGGATTAGTTACCTTTAAAGGCCTTTCCACTGGTGAGATAATAGGATTTCAGACCAGTCTGCACTAAGACCGAAATGGATTACTCTGGCAGAGGCAGACTGCTCAGTTGTGGGATCTATTAACAGAATAAGACTGCAAGGGAGGGGGGAGCGGGGCTGGAGGATAGGAAATGGTTAGATAACTTCCTAAATTGTCTCTATTCCTACTTCCTCAGTAAGGAAGCTTCTTAGGGCTTGAAACCTCACGGAAAGAACAAAAACAGCTTGGGTTTGGGGAGCAGTAAAATTTGTGGTCTAGCTCCGACTTTCCTGTTTCCCAGTCAATGTACCATCTGAGATATGTTAATCACCTTCTGTCCTGATCTCTTCACACCAGAAGATACTTCACTCAGGTTGCTACTAGAACAAATGGAGTAATTTTGCATTTTGAAAAGTACCCTGGGCCTTGTAATATAAACAGCAACATCAACTTGATTTCTTGTTTATGGTAAAACAGAAAAGCTCTAGATGAAAGTTCTGTGCTTTTATTGAATGAATATGTTTGCCAGAGCCTTAGCAGACATCTTTTTTTTTGGGGGGGGTGTTGGTTTTTTTGAGACAGTGTTTCTCTGTAGCCCTGACTGTCCTGGAACTCACTCTGGAGACCAGGCTGGTCTCGAACTCACGAAATCCGCCTGCCTCTGCCTCCCAAGTGCTGGGATTAAAGGCATGTGCCACCACTTTATGTGCCAGCTTTAGCAGACATCTTAATTAAAGGCCTGTCTGGCATTTGTTTCATCATGTTATGTAAAAGGTGGACAGGTTTAGGAAAACTTAAATTGAGGGATCCTGTCAAATACTGCACTTGCTGTGATGGCTCTGCACTCAGCATTGCAGTGCCTTCTCTCTTCGGGGAAGAGATTAAGCTTTCAGTCTCTGCAGACAGTGCCCAGCTTCTTTTTGTGGGTGCTGAACCTTTTCTCCTCTGTTGTTGCCTTGTCGGCTCTTTCAGGTGCCATGTGTTTCTAAACTGGCATCTCTTGGGCTTTTATTTTAATTCAGGTTGTTCCATAACCCAAGCAAGTTTGTTCTTAGTTGTCTTTGTACCTGCCTGCTCCTTCTTTGAAAGTTTACGTACACCAAGGTGCCTGCTTTTCCTAGTGATGATAAACAGCAAAAATGCAAGGGACACACTGTGTGAATTTGAGGCAGCAGCATGTGATGGATGGTGAGGGCTAGGGTCATGAAGCCTTTAAGTCTGTTACAAGGGAACCTCACATTCACTGAAAACAATGCCTGTTATCCCTTGCCATAGGAGTCCAGGTCTTGTGGCTCTGAGCTGTTCTTTCTCTGGTGTGAAGCTTGTCACGGCCCCCTTAGAGGCCAGGCTGCTATATATAAGTCTTAGTGTTGAGGTGTCACCTCCCCCAAATCCACTGAGCAAATGCATAGTTACCAATCTTCGCTTATGCATGATGATCACAGTGATCTCTTTATGGCTATGTGATCCCAAGATGCCTCCTAAGCCACCTGTAGGGCATGGTGGGTTCTAGAACTTTCCTTATCCTACTGGGAGCCCCTACTGGCCTGTGAGTGCCTATAGCATCCTAAGTACTTGTGTTGCATTGGCTAGTACTGTTGTCAGTCAAAGTGTCAGGCTGTTATCCAGTTTACCTCACTATAAGGAAGAAGGAGGGGGATTGTTTTCCTAGCTTGAGGAGGAGCTCCAGAAGCCCTGAGCAGGAGGAGCTCACCTAAGGGGTGTGGCATCTGCTGAAAGCACTTGAACAGTTGAGTGCTGAGTTAGTTGCCTTACAGCATCAGACCCAAAAGGACTTCCTGGGTTCTGCTACAAACACCCAGGAGAGAAACTCAGGGTCCTGATAGCTTGCTTGGTAAGTTGTTTGCTCTTTGGTGTGAACTAGAGCCTTCATCTGCCAGAGCACTAGCTCTCCCATCCCCTGCTCACTCTTCTGCCAGACATTTCTCCCAAGCTCTCTCATGGGGCCAGCAGATTGCTAGGGTACCACACTCAAGTTCGTCGGGCTGTTAGCTAGGACTAGTGATTAATTTAATCACACATTGTGTGGGGATTTTAAACTGAGTTTATATAGACCTTTCTTTAAAAGGAATTGGAGGTGGCTAATGAAAAGATTTCATAGTCATTGCTCAGTGGTCTATTGTTAATGAGCTGAGTTTCTGTATTGCTATGTGGTTTGGGACAGACAGGAGGCATGAGAAAGGAAACTAAAACACGAGTTGAACACTTTGGTTTTGCTTCCTCTTACGGTTTTAAGTAAAGATCTGTCACAAATTCAGAGCATGAATCCTTTCCAAACTGCAAACACTTTGGGGTATCTAGACTGTAGTTTATGAGGGATAATTTCCTGGAATAGTTTTTACTTTCCTCCTTAGTTCTTTTTTGGTGGTATAGAGTAGGCAGGCAAGCGTCCTACCTCTTAATTCTCTGTTATCCTTCGACTAGATCTTCCTGCTTTTTCCATTTGCACATAATCTGATCCCAGGCTAATCCCCAGAGTCTAAACACCCAGCTCCCATTTCTTCAGTTCTTTCCCATGTAACCTCTAGAGCCCAAGGCCTCAGTACTGATACATTCTTGCTGCTTAGACCAGGTGATGTCTATTCCTGTTCAAAAACTCATCCCATCCCAATTCTGTGTCTTAGCCTTTCTTGGGCGGGGATAGCCTTCTTGCATTTGGGGATTATCTTGGAATATAAACAAAGAACTGCAGAGATGGACATGGTGGGGAGTTGTGTTCTCCTGTTTCTTGTCTAAACTGCCTTAGAAGGCCTGGGCTGCTCCGTTTTCCCCATCTTCAGTACCCATTATGTATGTGTTTTATCCAGGATGGTATTTGATGAGCTCCTTATATTTTGGATCCATGGACTAGTTTTCAACTTTTTACACTTCTAGGGAAGTTACACTTGGTCATTTTTCTTCACACTTTGGCACTAAGTGTGAGGCTGTAAGTCCATTAATTCCTTTTTATGAGAAGTAAAAAGAGGACCAAGGTGTAGAAAAACAGGGTCATTCTCTTGGCACATGCATGGGCTTGAGTTTCCTGTCACAGTCTGTGCAGTCAGCTAAACTGGAAATGGTGGGCATACACATACCACACCCACACACAGTCGGCTTCACTGATGTGTCAGCCCTTTCCTCTACTTCAGAGCAGGATTCCAACTGCTGTTACCAAGATTTCTCTGCTGCCCCACTGTGTTCTTGTTACATGGGCACAGAGCCATGTATTTCTCAAGGACACGTGGGTGCCAGGTCGGAAGCTGGAATGCCTAAGTCTAAAATCTGGCTGTGGCTTATGACTTAGCACTTACCCAGAGCCTGAGACTTCTCTGTAGAATGGGGGTGATGTTTTACTCTGCAGAGAGGCTGCGAGTGTCCAGAGAGGTCAGAACAACAGGCTTGGAGGGAGGGTGACTCTACACTTAGTGATTCCTTACACTGTTAACTTCTCACCTGCCTACAGGAGCCTTAAGACACTCCTGGTTTCATGTAGGAAGAAGTTAGTGAACAGAATCACCCAGTAAACACATACCTAAGAGACCTGGGTAGCTGGGCTCTGAAAAACTTAAATGAGTCTGTAGGTAGGAGTGTCTGGGGTTAGAGTATATCAGGTAATCAGATGGCACCTTGTGATTTCCTGCTCCCCAGTCCTAGATGTACCAGATGGGTGGTAGCATCCCAGGTTTATTCCAAGGGTCAGGTACAGCAGCATGTGGGCCGGTGAGGCTGTGTGGGACAGAGGTGAGTAAAGATTCCCAGATAGATCTCTGAATTCCAAAATGGCCCAGCCAATGAAATCTGGCGTGCTCTGAGTGGCCTATTATGCAGGACTCAGACTTCAGAAATTGTGCTCCAGGGCCACTGCTGACACCTAAGTCAGGTCCGGAAGCTCCTGGTCTGCATTTTTCCCTTCCCCCTCTTAGACTGCTTGAAGCTACGAGGCATTCCTTGCTGAGCTCGTCCTGCTTGTTCACCTGGGTCCTGAAGAGTAGTTGTCCCCGCCCCGTCCCTCCGTCACAGTAACTCCAGGTTTGTTTTACTTTAAAACACAAAGGAATACAGATCCAGATGCTCACACCCTTCACCTTTAGGGTTACTACAAAAGCCTATGATTGATCCCTTTCCTCCTCACGGCTTAGGTTTTACACCATGCTCAGTCCTATTTCTGATTTCCCCACCCACAAAGAAAAAAAATCGAAACAGCTGCTTCTTACTCGCCTTGGCAGCAGGTGTTTCCTCTCTAGCTTCCTTTTTGACACCTGGTCCTTGTTGCTTGCTGACACTGCCCTCACCCCTCACCTTTCTCCAGCTCTGCATCTTTCCTGGTTTAGGTTTAGGGAATAATTCCCA